TTTTATGTGGTGCTGGGGACTGAAACCTAGGCTTTGCACAAACTAGGCAAGCACTCTACCAACTGAGCTACATCTCCAATCCCTTACTTGCTTTTTTTTGCAAAAGAGCCCTTAAGAAATGCATAGGCAAGGCAGACTGACACATTTCCTGACCTAACAGGCCCCAGCAGAAGCCTTGCAGGAACAAACGCGTGACCTAGGAACTTGCACCAGCTGCAGGGTTGCTCCGAAACATATCTGGATTTGTTCTCTCCTTACCTAATGCTTTTCCCACCCGCCACAGGCAGGAAACAAAATGTTCAGGTTTCAGAGGATCTGAGGTCCAGGGAGATTTGCTGGGGGCCCTGTTTTCTGGATTTAAAAATAATCTGCATTGCATTTGTCAATTTTTTGTTCCTGACAAAATGTTTTGTTTAAAGAATGTTTTAAAGACTGACCCAAGATTCATTTGTCTCTATATTCAGCCACATGGCTGTTCTTATAGTATGATATCAGATGATCCGAGGGGAGTCAGCCACTCTGGATACAGTCCCAAGTCTGTCTCCACAAGACTAGAACCCAGGCCTTCAGCTATCAGGTCTGACGCTAAGGGTCAACAGCAAGATGAGACGGTAAAGTCTACACTAGAAAGTCTAGACACCTGCTCAGTGAGTTTCTGTAGTAGAAAGGTTGTGTAGTCATTCATTGCCCCAGAGGATATCTAGAGTACACACAGGTGTCCAAGGATGTAGTCAGTGCAAGTGCAATTCTACCCATTGCATCTGGCTTAGTGACTCATGCCTCCCGAATCCTCGAGACCCTGAATTAGGTCATGAGTCAATCTATCATAATACTTCATAGTCTACAAAGTCTCTCACCCAACTTATCTGCTTCTTTTCCTCTGCAGAGTACTTAGAACTACCTTGACAATGACAGAGACCACTTTCCTAACTTAAAAACTAGGATTATTTAACCCTAACTCCTGAGCTCTTAGGTCAAGGTTGTGAGGGACCAGATAAGAGGCCAGGAGAGGGCCTGAACACACAACACACACACTCTTTAGCATCACCTCTCTCTGTACACGTGTGACACACATACACCTCAATGATACCTATTTGGCTGGTAGATGCCTCTAACATGAGATAAATGCTTTTCCATAGCTTTCGAGTGAGCAGGGAGCTTAGAGTTCAACAATCACCTAATCCCACTTCCTCCTCCATATAGGAAGTTGATTGCAATATTTCTGGCAGGCAGTCATACAGTTTCTGCTTGAACTCCATCAGTAAGGAGCTCACTACACACAAGGGCAGATGGGTCTGTGGTGGGACTCTGCCTCGGCTGAGTCCCATTCATCACCTGCTTTTCTGTCTTAGCTTTCTCAGGAGCTGGAATAAATTGTAAATGTTTGTCTCCATGGTAGCACTCCAAATATTTGAAAAGAGCCAACAGTGCCTCCCCCAGTATCTCTTCTTGACAGAAGAATCTCCATTTCCTCATAGGATATGGTTTCCAGATTTGCCTCTGACCTGTTGGCCCTTCCTGTGGGTGACTTGGTTAAGAGATAGAGCCATATCCGAACCAGTGAATTCAGTGACACAGAAAGTCTGTATTGCAGTTCGTAGTCACTGTAAAAGCAGCCAGATATCACTGTTGACTTACAGTGAGCTTTTAGTCAGTCGTCATTTGCAGAGACTGAAAAAGCAACAGACACAGAGCAGTGCCCTTCACTCCCGCCCCCTGTGCCTGCACTCTTATGCCTGATTTTGTTTCCCCACAAACCTGAATAGTCAAAATGTCTTTGATCCCCAAATATAACACACCTTACAATTTAAGTAGAAAATGGTCATATTTGGAACCTATTATTTCAAGCTAATGGAGTTTTCCTAAATCCTCACTTTGTGATTTTACATTCCAGCAGTTCCTCCTACTTTGGTATCTTTGAATATTTTTTTCAGTCTACATTTCTTGTTTCCAGGAAGATTCCTCAGGCAGAATGCATAGACAGGAACAGAGGCATGAGGCACCCCGCCAGAGATCATTCACTGTGTTCACACAAAACTAGTTACCACCTCATCTAGGGCATCGTTAGTGTCCAACAATGCCATCTAACTGTATTTCCACCAAAGCAATGTCTCATTCACTAACCCACAATGATTTAACAGGGGCCATTTGTTTAGCCAAGAGGAATGCTTCCATGACTTCAGCTACTGACATGAGGCATTTTGGAGAAACTTCCCAGCATCCCACAGGCATCCCATGTAGGTGGTCTGGGCAGTTCCTGGTCAGACCAGAGCTATGTGTAAGCATGAGCTGTAACCATGAAACCCAGCATGCAGGAATCTTCTTGCAACTTAAGGGCTCTCCTTAGGCATCTTGAACCTAGGGCCAACATGACCTACTTTCAGTGGGTATGGAAGGGAGGTCCCAGAAGACAGCTCATTAACTGAAGGTTCCTGTGTGTCTGTGGCTAGACAAGGAAGCCTCACCCTGGCTTATGTCACCAAGCTGGTCTGCCCAACAGGAGGTCTTTTAGGAAAATGTGCCGTTCAAAGGCCGTGTCTGTCATTTGGCTTTCATAGCAGATGTCTGCTCTGTAGCCCTCTGGGTGACTGAATTCACCAGGATCTGTGACTTGGCTTTGTCATAATGCTCCAGCTTATCTCATGACACACACTTGGTCTTTCCAGCAACTAAGGATTGTATTTCCCTTCTGGTGGGAGTCCTCAGATCATGATGGATGCAACTTCCCCCAACAAACATCAAAGCTGGCACTATGATGCTCATCTTAGACTCCCAGCACTTCCAGAATAAGAAGTTCTTCCCAATACTTTTCCCCCGATGGTCTAAGCCTATTGCATTTCACTGGGGCTCTGATTTGGATGCAACGTGTTATGGCTGGGGTTAGAGCTCAGCTGGTAGAATGGCTAGCACTGTGAATCCCTGGGGTGGCTCTTCGGCACCATATAAACCCAATATGGTAGCGCAGGCCTGCGATGCTAACACCAGAAGATGGAGAATCAGAAACTGAAGGTCATCATTCTCGGCTACATACTGAATTTTAGGTCAATTTGGGATACTTGAGATCCTCCCCCCTTAAGTAAAAATAAATAAATGAATAAACTATGTCACATCTTAACTTCCCTTTAAATGCTAAGCTTTGTAACTGTACACTGTAGGAGGTCAGTGGACATTTACCTATGGAAGTGCTGCTCAGAGTCCCTTTTCCAGGATCATTTATTATTTTTATTATTTATTATTGTTATCGTTATGTTGTTGATATTTTGCTAGTAGGAGATGAATCTTACCCTCTCATAACCTCAAATCAGCTGATATTTTGGACTTTTTTCCCTTCTATTTGCACCATTAGCATCTTCTTAGCCACAGAGCCCAGCCCTTCCTTCTCTCAACACTCCAAGTGGATAGTCCTGAGCTTTTAGCTGAGCGTGAGGCCACTGAAAATGCCATAAATAAGCTCAATGTCTACTGAGGCAGGTCAATTCCATGAAGGAATGAATGTCTGATCTGTGTGCTTCTTGTCACACCTTGATCTCGGGTGCATCCCTGCCTAAGGGAACAGTAAGCTCTGGTATGCATTGCTAGGAAGAAGGACATTCAGAAGTGGGAAATTTGTTCACACGTGGTAAGTAGAGTTCTGTGTGTCGGATGCAGCAATGACTAAGATGTATCCTTTCCCCTCCAGGAGCTCCTGGTCTGGTCAGAGAGCAGAGACATATACCAGTGGGTGCTGTTTCCTAAGGGGATGTAGAATGGGCGTGGAAAATTCTGGGACACTGGGCTGCACAAGTTCATTCTCTTTAATGTCAATTCCATGGAAAAACAAGTTTAGTTTAGCTACTGGTACTTAGTCCCTGAATTGCATGGTCTCCATGGCACTCTCGTTATTTTGAATGAATGATCATGTTTGAAGATGATGATTAGAAGTGGCTTCACACTCTAGCCAAGGGCATGATGGGAGCTCATTCATGCTCCATACAGGCTGAACCAGGTCTCAGTGTGTACTGTGTGCTGTGTGCTCTCGGAGCACAGGAGAGTGGCAGTCATGGAAGGATAACATCCAGGACACAGTCTGGGACATCTTTTGGAGCCTAAATGGATGGGGGTGATTTCAAGTCTCTCTCTCTCTCTCTCTCTCTCTCTCTCTCTCTCTCTCTCTCTCTCTCTCTCTCTCTCTCTCTCTCTCTCTCTCTCTCTCTCTCTCCATGGTTCAGCAGTTAAGAGCACTTGTTGCTCTTCCAGAAGACTGAGTCAATCCCCAGCACCTACATGGCAGCTCACAACCATCTGTAACTCCAGTTCCAGGGGACCCAGTGCCCTCTTCTGGCCTCCTTGAGCATCAGGTACACATGTGGTACACAGACATACATTCAAGGAACACCGGGTACACAGACATATGTGCAAGCAAAACACCCATACACATAATGGTATCCATTCTCCAGAAATCATTCAACTTGCCCTTGCATCAAATCTAGCTGGTATTTTTTTTTATTTTCCAGTTTAAATTTAGATAAGAAACGAGGTTGCTTTACAAGTCAGTTCCAGGTCCCTCTCCCATTCCCTCCCCTCCTCCCGTGCCCTCCCCCCAACCCCCCCCCCCCCGTTATCCCCTCATTCCCCCAGGGAGGGTGAGGCCCTCCATGGCGGTGTCCATAGTCTGTCATTTCATATAGGGCAGGGCCTAGACCCTTCCCCAAGAGTTCAGGGTGAGAGTGCACCTCACATTGTTCTATGGGAGTCCAAAGTCCGTGTGTATACTTGGGATGGGTACTGATCTGCTGCCCAAGGCTCAATAGATTCCCTAGGCCTCCTCACTGACACCCAGATTCAGGGGGTCTTGATCAGTCCCATACATACCCAGTACTCAACAAGCAGGCAAGACACATTATATGAAAAGAAAATGCATTGAAGTGAAGACACTATTGAGAGCGTGTAAAGGCTGAGTATACACAGCTTCCAGAGTCCATGGTCCCAACAAGCATGAAAAGACAAAGCATAGAGCTTACCTCTATTTGGTTGATCAATGAATTGTCAAATTTGAACCCAGGAATCCTTTTGTCACTGCACACCACACCAACGTCTTCTGTATGCTTGCAGTCGGTAACACCCCAGCCATTGGAGGAGCAGGCTGCCAGGGTAGCCTCTTTGCCGGTGCAGTGGATATTGTCCAGCCAGATGGGCCCTGAAGAGGAGAGAAAGCAAGCGTCCTGCCAATACAGATCCAGGTGGTAAGGGTACTAGCGTCTTACACAGAATTCCTCCAAAATTTGGCAGGTATGTGCAGCCATCAGTTAATTTTTTTTTTTTTTTTGGTTTTTCAAGACAGGGTTTCTCTGTAGCTTTGGAGGCTGTCCTGGAACTCACTTTGTAGACCAGGCTGGCCTCGAACTCACAGAGATCCGCCTGCCTCTGCCTCCCGAGTGCTGGGATTAAAGGTGTGTGCCACCAATGCCCGGCCCATCAGTTAATTTTTATTAAGTGAGGTTGTCACATCTAATCTTAGGTCATTGGGATTCCCTTGCCAGGATAGGTAGTTGGTGTGATCTGAGGAGCTGTTGGTTTGAGCACAATTAGGACAGAAATCAGATTTACTCCTGGAAGTTATGTGGTATATTAGTTATGTTTATCAATGTTGTGATAAAATACCAGACAGAGACATAGGGAAGAAGGTTTGTGTTGGCTGGTGGATTCCAAAAGAACACAGTTGATCACGGTGGGAAGGCATGACATTAGGCAGTGATGTCATACTGTGTCCCACAGTCAGGAAGCAGAGAGAGGTGAATTCTGGTGCTTGGTTGGCCTCCTTGTTTTTCTTTTTATTCAGTTTGGGACCCCTGATGGTACCGCCACACTCAGGGTGGGCCTTCCTTCCGCTGTTAAGTCTCTATGGAAACATCCGGATAGGCACACCCAGAGGTGAGTCTCCTAGGAGATTTCAAGTCCAGTCAACTTGACAATGAAGCTTAGTTTTATTTATCATTATTACTATGTATGTGTACATGATGTGTGTGGGGGTGGGGCACGTGCTACAGTGAGAGAGCGTGGAGGCCAGAGAGCAATTTTATGGAGCTAAATCTTTCCTTCAATGTTTACATGAGCCCGGAGGATCCAATTCAGGTGACTTTTATCCACTGAGCTACCTCACCAGTCTGATGATGAAATTTAACCTCTACGACGGGTACAAAAGAACAGGGACTTTTGCGGGGGCAGAGGAAGCCCTGGGTTAGTTACTTTTCAATTGTTGTGACAAAGCACCATGACCAACGCAACTTATAAAAGGAAGTGTTTAATTTAGGGCTCTTGGATCCAGAGGGTTGGAATCCATGACTATCACAGTAGGAGCATGGCCGCATATGGGAAGGCATGGCGCTGGAGTGTAGCTGAGAGGTCACATCTAGGAGACTCAACTGTGAGGCAGGGAAAGGGAACTGGAGTGGCAAGAGCTTTGGAAATCACAAGGCCTGCTCCCCAGGGACACATTGCCTCCAGCAAGGCCACACCTTCCAATCCTTCACAATTTCTTCCCAAGCAGTTCCACTAACCAGAGGCCAAGCATTCAAATACTTGAGCCTAGGGTGGGGGTGGGGGCAAACCACCACAGGAGCCGATGAAGTCTGGGTGAATGTGTATTAGTGACAAGGATGAAAGCCTCATGGGAACTGGCAAAGCCTTCCTCTGGTCTATGTGTGGCTGTTGGCAGTGTGCGCAAAAACTAGTAGCCCCAGCTTCGTTCTCCAGGAGGACTACAATCTGAGACTGACTGCTCTCCTACAGTGAACTCCTACCAAGACTGCCTAACCCTTCTTCCTTCTGGACTATACATACAGCAGGGGCAGAAGCTCTGGATTGCTTTTGTAGTTGGTGCTGCTTCACAGAACCTGCACAGCCCACCCAATCCCAGCTTTCCTGTCTGTGTGTCTGTGTGTCTATGTGTCTTCTGTCTTTTCTTCAGTCCCTTGAAACCCCAATCAGGTTTACTGGACCAAGTCATGATGATGCAGTAGGCTTTGGAGACTAACCTGGCTTTGAATTCTAGTTCAGTCTCTTTTAGCTTTGGACCCCATGTCAAAGCCCCTTTCCTATCAGCAAAATGGAGACAGCAAGTAAGACAGATAGAAACAACAGCTTGTCAAGTGAGGCAGATGGAGACAACAGCTTGTGAGCTGCAGAAGTGTGGGATGACTAGAGACAGTTCATTGCTGCTCTAAAGTGACCTGAAAATGGGGACAATGACAAGAATGCGGGTTTAGTTATATCTACAGCACAAGTCGGCCTTGCCTGCCTCTGCATGTCAGGCAGCTGTCTTCTAGCCACTCATGGTGAAGCTCATCTGCTTTGCCATCAAGGTTTGCTGGTTTTAGGGTCATCAGCTGGTTTGCTGATGATCCACGCATCATCATCTTGACCTTATCATTCCTCAGGGAGACCTAGGCGGTACCATTACTCTCTCTTCACAGACACAGAGCCTGGCTCAGATGTCAGCCTCTGGGCGCCAAGCCATAGCCTATGAGTCAGTTCTCCAACTAGTGCCTTCTCAATTGCTCTTTTTCACCATACCTGTTCAGAGACAGGCCACTACACACAGCCACCGTTATGCATTCAGCAAGGCCACCACAGAATGTGGCTAACCTGTTCTTTCACCGTCTTTGCACTAGTAGAAAATTCTGTGTTCAAAGCACTGGGGAGATTAACCATGAGACGCCATCTCATGTCATCTGGGTGGTAGTATGGCTTGAGTGTGAGCTGTCTTTGTCCTCAGCTGGTGACACTACTTTAGAAGATTGGGAAACTTTTTGGAGGTGGAGCCTTGATGGAAGGCAGCGAGTCCCTGGGGGAGGGTCTTAACATTTTATAGTGTGACCACACTTCTGTCAGTCGCCCTGCATATCTGTCAAGATATGAGGGAATAAGCCAGACTGGTAGTGCATTTCCTTTAACTCCAGCACTTAGGAGGCAAAAGCATGAGAATCTTTGAGTTCAAGGATAGCCTGGTCTACTACACAGCAAGTTCTAGGCCAGTCAGGGCTACATAGTGAGACCTTGTCTCAAAACCAAGAACAAAGGCAAAACCAAGAAGTGGTAAGGATCCCAGGCTGCAGATGCCTGCTACTGTGGCACCACCACGATGGACTTTATACTCCCAAATTGTGAGTCAACATAACCCTTCCTCTCTTAGGATGCTTCTTGATAGACACTTGGTCACAGCAACAAGGAAAGTGTACTGCAGGGAGTTCCCGTCAAAATCACAACAGATAACAAACACACTGGCACTGGTGAGGATGTGGAGAAACTGAAGCCCTTCTGCATCAGTGGTGCAGACACTGTGCGAAACAGTACAGTGTTCCTCAAATCTCATTTTTTGTTTGTTTGTCTAGTTTGTTGTGGTGGGGCTGGTGCTGGGAACAGGACTCTGGGCCTTGTACATGCTAAGCAATTGCTCTACCACCAAGCTATGTCCTCGGCCTCCAAACTTTAAAGCTATCATATGGTTCAGAATTCCATACAGCTGTAATTATAGGTACTGAGGAGACTGAAGCAAGAGAATCGCAAGTTTGAGGCCAACTGGGCTACACACTAAGATCTAGGTCAACCTGGACAGTTTATTGAGAGCCTGTCTCTAAATTTAAAAGAAAAACATTACAGATATTCTCAGACCCAAATTTGTCATCAGCACCCAAAAGACTAGGAACAACTTGCCCAGAGTTTGAGGCTAGACTGGGCTACACAGTGAGTTTCAGACTAGCCTGGGCTACAGAGTGAGTCTTAAATAAACAAAGCAATTAAATTTAAAAGGCTGGGGATGTATCACAAGGATGAGATGCTTGTCTAGTATCCACAAGGCCTCAGAACAAGAAAGGAAGTAAGGGAGGGAGGAGGGAAGTGGGAGGAGGGAAGTGGGAGGGAGGAGGGAGAGAAGGGAGGAGGGAGGAAGAAGGGAGGGAGGGAGGAGGGAGGGAGGGACAGGCATTGAAAGCCAGGCCTTGGGGAGGTGTTTGCCTACCCACATTCACTGCAGCACAATTCCTAACTACTGCCAAGAGATGGAAGCAGCGGACATCTGTTGACAAACTGCATACATATAAGGCAAAACTGTAGAAGGGAAAATTCTGACACATACTTCAACACACTTCAGACCTTGAGGACATTCGGCTAAGTGGGGAAAGCTGGTTGCAAAAGGCCAAATACAGAAAGATTCCTACCTAGGGTTCTCAAATTCTGAGAAACCAAGTAGACTAGGAATTGCCAGGGGTTTAAAGAAGCATGGGAGGTAGTTATTTAATGGGTCCAGAGTTTCTGTTTTGCAAGAATGTTCTGGAAATTGATTGCATGACAATGAAAACATAATGAACTCAACTGAACTGTATATGCACTTCAAATGGTTAAGATGTTAATATTCTTATGTGTATTTTACTGCAATGAAAAATAAATACGTAATAAAGAAGCCAGGTGGTTTTCAAATAGTGGTTTCGTGTGTGTGTGTGTGTGTGTGTGTGTGTGTGTGTGTGATAACTGCATAGACATGTAAGATTGCCCACATGTGCTCATGTATACATGTGGAGGCCAGAGCTTGGCAATAGCATGTCTTCTTCTATTGATCTCTACTTTTTTTGTGTGGGTGACAGGGTCACTTCCCTGAACTTGGAGCTCTACAACTCAGCTAGGCTGACTGGTCCAATACTTTAATGATGGTACTGTCCCTGCTCCCCTGTGCAGGGGTTACATAGGCCTTCATGTTTGGATGGGACTAACAGGATAACACACCAATAAATGGGCCCAGGGACATGTTTGATTCCCTTTTCCTTCTAAGTAAAAAAGCAAGTGTATTCTATGGTTTCCATAGTGGGTGGGGGAGCCGATGAAAACACTACCATTACAGAGATTTAAAAAATTGAAGTGTGAAGCTGAGGTTCCCCAAGGAGGACACGGGGCCAGTCTCCTGACTTGCAAGCCTGGCTACAACGTGTGCACTCTGATGCCTGGCTGGTTGGGGCTCAAAGGCCAGAGCTGTGGACTCATTGTGGGAACAATGAGTTAATTGAAAACATCTGGACTGAGGTTTTCCAACCACTCTCTCAACCTGGGCTGGTTTCCAAGCTGTCAGGCTCCACTGAAACGCATGCTTGCTAATAGATGGCTGTTTCTACAGCAAGCTCATATTTGTTTTACTGCGTACTAGCAACGGAAGGGCCCCTCCATCTTGCCAGCGAGGCTTCTTCCTCAGAACATTCTGAACTGAGCTGCTGAAGGGCAGATTGTGAAAAGAGACAGTGGCCCTATTCCGTCTGTAGCCAAAGAAGCCACCCTCCCTTGGGCATGGAGGATGGCCAGAAACCTTTTGTTTCCCACCTAGTGTATATTGCGTATAGTACACATTGTGTATATTGCACAAAATAATAGGTTTTTGCCAGCCATGGTGGCACATGCCTGTAATCGCAGTACTAGGGAGGACCCATGAGTGAGAGGTCACAAAGACTGAGTTTGTCATGACATTCTAGTGCAAGCATATCATGAACTTTGATATTATTCACCCTAATATCTTTCTATGTCCTTCAGCTCTGCTGATCCCCCCCTTCCCAAATACTCTCCCTTCTGCTTTCAGGTCCTTTGTTGTTTATTTTTTCTAGACAGAGTTTCTCTGTGTAGCACTGGCTGTCCTGAAACTCGCTATATAGACCACCCTGGCCTCAAACTCAGAGATCCCTGGTTCTGCCTCCTGAGTGCTGGGATTAAAGGCATCTGCCATCACTCACTACCAGGCTCAAATCCTTTTTTAAAGTTTAAATTTCTTGTATGAGAGAAAACATCATATTTTTCTGGTTGGCTCTGATTTGCTTCACTTTATATGACAGTCTCCAGGTCCATCCATTTTCCCCAAAATGACATAATTTTGTTTTTGCGATGGCTGACTAGTATTTATTGTGTGTATATGCATTACCCTTATTCAGTCATCTCTCTCTCCCTCTCTCTCATTTTTTTTTCATGACAGAGTCTCACTATATAGCTTTGACTCTCCTGGAACTCACTATGTAGACCAGGCTGGCCTTGAACTCACAGAGATCTATTTGCCTCTGCCTCTCAAGTGCTGGGATTAAGGGTGTGTGCCACCATGTCCAGCTTTTAGTCTTCTGATGAATGTCTATCTTAATTCCATCACTTGGCTATTGTAAAAATTCAGAGGATCTTTAAAAGAGCTGCCTGGAACAGCAAAGCATGTGAAGTCAGCACCTTGGGGTACCGAGGGAACTGTTACTCAACAGAACTATATACCCTTCATGCTCCCGTCTGGTAGTCTTGCTCTCTGCTCTGCTTGACCACAATGCCTTCTGTTAGATGGAGGATGCACAAATCCACACTTTGTTTAAGATAGTGTCACCACCTGTGGTTTGCTATTTGATCTGGTTTCATGTCAGTGCTTTCTCCAATATATCTAGTGTCTATCAGCTAGATTTTCCCGATCTAACACACCCTGCTTCCATGTCTACCTGTGGGAATGTGAGACAGCTCTAGGCACCTAGGGGACATCTGGATGCCAGGGAAGTGGTCCCTGGGATGAGGCTCGTATTTGGGACACACACACAAAAAATGATTCAATCAGAAGCAAAATTATTTTACTCTTTCTATTCACTCACAGAAAACCATCCCCTGATGAAAGAAGTATGTAAACAAATTAACAAGTGTTTTGAAAGAGATAGAGCATAAAAGAAACAGTTTGGATGCTGAGTCATTGGTTTGATCAGGGCAATGGAAATTATTTCAAGTTAGAACATACAGTGTCTTTAGCCTTGTCAGTGTTGGGACAGTTGGGTGGAGAGTCTCCACCCTGTTTCAGATTACTGTGAAAGCCCATCAGAGGGTATTAAATGGGCCAGCTGCCCTCTTTGGAGCTCTAGGGAGCCATGGCTTGCCTGGGTTGGGGGAGGTTTTGGGGGTTGAGACCTGTTTGCTGGTTGTTAGGCCGGAAGATCCAGGGATCCCTGATGTTTGCCTTATTTTCATTATGACATCTTGAACCGTGGGGTCAGCTACATCATTCCCGGCCCACCCACAGAGCTGACTCCCAGGTCAGACTCCACTGGGTACCACCACCACCAGCCCCAGCCAGGACACTGGCCAGACTCTGGTCATCACACCCCACACTGTTTCACCAGCTGTTTTCTGTCTTCTCCCACACCAAAGCAGACCAGCAAGCTCATATTTACCGAGTGCACACCATGCACCCAGTGCTGAAATAAAATCTCTACTGCAGCTGATGAAACCTAAATACATTCATATTTAGAAGTTCTGTCATGGTGCAAATCAAGTGCCACCTTATAGGCAGATGGCTGAACTCTATGAACATGCGCGCACATGTGAGTGTGTGCGTGTGTGTACAAGAGTATGCACGTGTGTTTGTGTGTGTGTGTGGACCTTTGTACATGTTGAGACTAAAGGACAGCCTCAAGTGTCATTCCACAGGTGCTGACCACCTGATTCTGTGAGACTGGTTTTCTTACTGGCCTGAAACTCTCCAAATAGGCTAGAGTGGCCAGCCAGTGATCCGATGCTAGTCTCTACCCTCCAGTACTGGGATTACAAGTACATCACTGCCACTTCCTCTGGTGGGGGTGAGGGATGAAACTTGGGTCTTTATAAGCTCTTTATAGACTGAGCTATCTTCTCTTTTATCAGACAACCCAAGTAAATCCTTGGCATTGCAGTGTTCAGTTTGTCTAGAATTTGTTTCTCCCCATCCTTTCCTTAAACTGCAGCTGTCATACCCCTCGATGGTTCCAGTGTCCACACAGATGACCTTTACAAGTTCAGTACTCGGTCACCACACACCCTCTTTGTAGATACCTTCTTGCCCTTGGTTCCTGTTGCTCTTCAAGGTCATGGCTCAGCCCTGGCTGTGTCAACAATTGGACCCTCTCCAATCTCCATCTCAACCATCACGTTCAGCAGCTGTATCTCCCACCATCTCTCTGGCACATTCTTGTTATTATTACTTCAGCCGAGATCCCTACCCATTGGTTAGAGTAGTTTTACAGGGTCCTTCCTCCTCGTGTCTCTCCCTTCCTTATTCAGCATGGACTCTGCAAACCATCTTTTTATTCGCTAGCTTTCAAGTCTTCTCCACTCTCCTGAACACTTTGATCCTTGCATGCTTCAATAGCAAAGTCCTACCCAATAAGACCACGTGTCCTGCTATGTCCTGCTGCCTCCTGTGGGCAAAGATCCAGATATCTTACCTGCCGCAAATTTGATTAAAAAATAAACCCGTCACTAGGTAAAAGCCACCATTGTATTTATCATATAATTTTGAGAATATAATAATCTGGAATGGAAAACGTAAATCTGACATAAGCTCTGGATCACTCGTACAGCGGAATAAGCAGAGATGTGGGTGCCGGAAGTTTAATCAGAGACAGGAAGTGGTTGTAAAGGCCCCAGCTAATCAATCTTGGCTGCTTTGGCTCTCATTGCTGCCAAGAAACCCACAACAAGCTCTCAAAACATGTGACTCTTAGCATGGGGTCTTAGGCCAATTCTTCCATCAGGAAACTCCCCACTTCCTGGGGGTGAGGCACTCAGAAAACAGTACACCTTTCTTCCTGCCATTTCTAGAATAACTGAAAGGAAGGAGGGTTGAAGGCAGTTTAACTTGTTTACCTCACTGTCCCTCAGCCGCTACATCTTGGGTTGAGTCTGTAGTCTGAAGTGTTTTGTACTTTTATGCTCAAACAGGAGAGTTTTGTACAGTTATCATGGCATTGACCCTCTGGCTCAGGGAGTGTGAACAGCTCACTCTAGGCGAACAGTCAGATTCATGCCAAAGGCCCATGGGCAGCTCAGGAGGGGAGCAGGTACTCGATTTACCTGTAGTGGAGGTGCAGTTCCTGGAAGAAGACTGTGTGTGTGTGTGTGTGTGTACTGTCTGTCACTAAACTGGTGCCCACCAGTTGGCTAGGCTGCTCCAGGGATCCACTTGTCTCCCTCCCTCAGCACTGAAGCTTCATGTGTATGTTACCATGCCCAGCTTTTTATGTAGGTGTTATATAGTCAAACTCAGGTCTTCACACTTGCACAGAAAACTCTTTACCCACAAAGCCACCTCCCAGCCCCAAGAAGACCATTTGTTTGCAAATGATGCCTTTCACCTACACCTGCATTCCCAACCAGGGACAATGACTACCAGGGCACAGCATTTCTAATTAAAGAGTCAATCACAGGCCATACAGCATTTTGCTTAATGATGTACCACCTTGGCATGAATCCACAAGTGCATACACATACATATAAGTAGACACAATAAAATAATAATAGTGGTCTTCATGTGGATAGAAATCTTGCCTGTGGAACCCTATTGAGAAAGAGGAAAAGCTCTGCTTGGAGGGAGCAGTCTGGGCGCAGGCATGATACTGCAACCCCTAGACACGGAGTGTGGCTTAGTGACATGGGCACAGGCTAATTTCACCTACTGACTGAGGTCACCGACCATCTTGACTTGCCTGAGACTTTTCACACTCAAAGCAGTAATAGCCTGGAGAGTTCATGATGGTTGCTCCCCTATCATTCCCTGGAGAGGCCTCCAACCAGCCTTCCAGCAAGACACAGCCTGCAGGGCAGATAGGAAACTCACAGAAAGTCGTGCTTAATAGCAATTACAGCTTTCTCTGCAGGCCAGTCAGGGCGTGTCCTGGCCTAGCTGTGTGACATACACTCGGCTCCACAGCACAGTCTCTTACCTTCCCCTGGGCCGTAGGAGGAGCTGGCAGTCCAGGACTTGGCTTCCACATACCCCACTTCCCTGCAGACAACGTGGGCAGCGTGGATGGAGAAATCGTCATCACACACGGTGCCCCACTGGCCTTCATAATAGACCTCCACACGGCCTTCGTTATGCTTCCTCTTCTGGCCCGCCAGGCGTACCTGGATCTTGACCACATCAGAGGGCACCCGCTGCTGATGGTACTCGGGAGCCGGCTGCTGGAAGTACTCAGGGTACTGGAGCTGGTAGGGCCAGCTCTCATACTGTGCTAGGCTCAGGGAGGGCAGGAAGACAAACACAGTCAAACAGCTATAGAAGAGGGAGCTGGAAGATATCGCCCCCATTCTTGCCCTGTGCTGAGAGGAGGTCAGGGGTGGCACCAGGAACTTTCTGGAAAGAGAGAAAGAGAGAGAGAGAGAGAGCCATTAGGATAAAGATTGTAGATGCCTGTAAAGTGTTCTGTGACTTCACCTTTCTGGCTTCGCATGCGAAGCTCTTCAGGACTACATTCCAACCCATTTCTGCTCCCATTTCATGTTTTGGCCACACCAGTCTGAGCCCCCAATGTCAACCACCCATCTTCCTCATCTTTGGGATGTTGTCATCAGTACTCTTGACTAAATTTAAAGGAACCCTCTTCTGTCCTTCTTTAAATGTATTTTAATTTTATGTATATGTGTATACGTATGTGTGTGAACGTGCATACCACTGTATGGGTGTGGAGGTTACAGGATGACTTGTGGGGGCCAGTTCTCTCATTCCACCATGTGGGTCTTGGGGATTGAACTTAGGTCATCAGTCTTGGCAACAAGCTCCTTTACCTGAAGCCATCTCACAGGCCCTCTTCCTCTCTACCTTCCTCCTTCTCCAGTGAAGAGTGAATGAAGTTCAGAGGAACCGACAAAGGATGAGAGAAGCACCCCTGGTTGTCAACAGACACTAGCCATGACACCAGGGACTTTTTGAACTGAGCACAGCTGAGTGGAAAAGGCTCTCTGGTAGCATCTGGGATCTTTACTGAAGGGTCTCAGAACTACCTATAGAAACCAGCAGGAAGGATCCATGGAACACATATAGGATGCTACTCTCCCACTGGCTTCTAAACTCTTCCTGGTACCTCTAAAGGGAAAACCCAACTCAACACAACCAGAAAAAAGGTTAGGATTGCTGCCGGAGAAGTCTGCACTGGCTGGAGAGAAAGAATAGTGGGTCCCCTTTGCTGGGATCCTGGGCACAAATCTGGTAAATAGAGAACAGTGGGTCCCAAGAGGCAAATGCAAGCTTCTCAGAAGACCTCCCTACTTGCACTCCTTCCATTTCCTCACAGCCCAAGGCCCACCTCGACCTAGACCAGTGTCCCAGTCATGCCCTGCCGAGGTAGATTTAGGATCTTCTGGTAATTTCTCAGGAATTTCAACAGGTCCGATTTGACAGCAAACTTTTTAGAGCTAAGTTTTTTTCTTAGTCTTCCCTGGTCTCTCCATGACACATTTCATACCTTCATAGACACATTTACTAAATGGGAAGGTGACCTGGCTGCAGGGACTGAGCCACAAGGGGAACATGGGGTCTGAGTGGTCCTCAGTGTAACACTGCATCAGGAAGTCTGACTGGATCCTCTAGGACCCTGCACAGTTCTCCAGGGCTGGGCGGCCTTGTTCCCATTGGATGTGTGTGGGAAACCCTGCACTGAACCGTCACTGTCAGAATCTGAGGTGATCATGGTGACCTTGGCCTTGGCAGATATTGTGCAGATTATGAGACTTGGTGCTTTGTTGGCAGAGAACTGCTATCACTTCCTTTGAAAATGATGGAGCAAGCTGGGCATAGTGGCACACGCCTTTAATCCCAGAACTTGGGAGGCAGAGGCAGTAAGGTCTCTGTGGGTTTGGGGGATAGCCTGGGTCTACATAGTGTGTTCCAATTCCAGAAGAGCCAGACTCTGTCTCAAATAAAGCCAAAATTAAAGAAAGAAAAAAAAGGGGGGAATGAAGCAAAGAAGGAGGATGAATTCTCTAGGCAAGTGGAATGTACCCTCAGAGGAGTTATGAGGGCCCCATGGCAATTTCTTTCCTATTTATAGTATCTCTCCATAGGAGATGCTGGGGTTTGAGACCAGGCTGCTCCTAACTCACACAAGAGGGGTTAAGTCTTTGTCAAAGTAGAAGAGGGGTTGAGGAACCCAGCATCAAGAGGGCATGTCTAAAGTCGGAAGAGAACACGCTAGAGCCAGATGAACTGAGTGTGGCTCCTCATTCTGATGTTTATCAGTTTGCAACCTTGAACAAAACCTTTAACTTCTCTGCACATCAGTTTCCTCATCTACTGAAAGTAGGTCATAATCGTACGCAGTCCACAGAACCATTCTGAGGGCTAAATGGATGGCACCACAAAGCACTGCAACAGGAGCGTTTGCTAAATGAAAAGCTACATTCTTCAAGGTTGTGGGCATCACAGTCAGAGGACACCTCTGTGTAACACTAGAATGAGGTTGTGTATAGAGACCTCCCGTGTCTTAGTCCTCAGATAACCCAGAAACTGGAAGATCATGAGAAAAGGACTGTGGGTGTCTCTCAAGGAAGCGGCTTCGAGTTGAGATGTGAGAGTCTAAAAGGCAAAGCCAGGAGTTAAGTTGGGAACTGCAGCGGCACACACTTCATTTTGACCATACGTGAAGGGGCAGAGAGACCATAGTCCTCAGTTCAAAGTACGGTACTATCCAGAAAGGACTGACTAACTTCCCCTGGGCTGGCGCCACCCAGCGCCACCTGTGCCCTGTCTTGAAGAAAGGTAACCATTTGAATGTTGGTGCCCTCTGTGTTTGCTCAGAGAAAACACCCTCTGTTATCACTAGAGACCCAACAACTCTCATCCTCTGACACTCAAATAGGCCCAGCAAGTGACGGAGTTCCTGCAACGGGGTCCACAGTCTGTGCCTGGCTCATGCTTTGACGCCTACAACAGAGTGCCTCCCCTGCCCTCCAAAGACCACATTCCTCAAGGTCCTCTTAGACTAAATGAAGGTCCTCTCTGGCTGCTTTAACATCCTGTATTGCTTGTGTTTTACTCTGTTGTCCATCAGCTTCGTCACCAGAAACATCTGCTTGTGCTAGGCACAGTCATTTGTATTACAAAAATCTGGCCACAAACAACTATAAAACAGTAGATAAACATACTAAAAACACATCTTATCATGCACTGCACAACATTTTGCTCAACGAGAAACCCTGCCTATGAAAATGATCCCATGTATTCATAATGGAGACCAAAAATTTCTATCACCTGGTGACACAGGTCACTCTAACATCACAGCACAAAGCATAACTGCATTTCTCATCTTTGCTGTGATGATGGTGGGAATGAAGCTACTGTAGTGCCTTCGTCTAAAAGCGCAGTAACACTCCAGTATAGCATGCCGCTATGATAATGACCTTAGTACTTTATGCCTTGTTGTGTTTGGTTTTTGTTTGTTTTTGCTTTTGCTGTTTTATTGTGTTTTGTTTGAGACATGGTCTCACTCTGTTGCCCAGGCTGAATCAAACTCACAGTGATCCTTCTGACTCAGCCTCCAAGTGCTGGGATTACAGGCTGGAGCCACCATACCTGAAGGCATTGCATGTTTGATCACTAGTTTGCCACTGCTCCTTCTGCTTATGGACAACATTGAGTGTAAAATGCCAGGCCGTGTCACACCAACAACGGCCTTACACAGCTTGCTTACAAGTCTCTTGATTGCATCAAGAGGCCATGTGGAGAGACTGATGTCCATCCAGGTTTGTGAGGAAACATTCTAGTATGTTTAAACAATGCCTGAGTATCCTATGTCCATCCTGCCTTCCCACCTCTCATTATTAGGTGAAACCTGACATTGGAAGGCTACTGAGGCTTCATGGGCTCAAAGAGTCAAGACTCCAGAAAGAAAGGGCATGCATCAGGATGTGCCTATATAGGTCTCTGCTTTTCCCAAGACAGTACCTAGCAGGTTGGAGAACTGAGTGAAATTTTCAGTGGCCTTCAGGGACTGACAAGATAGAAATCAGAGGTCATGGGAAGGGACTGATGATGGAGATAAATTGTCCTAAATGGAGCATAAATAAGATGTTTGGAAACCCAAAGAAGAAGAGAGAAAGAATGTGCAGAGGAAGCATTTAAGAGCATTGGTGAAGAATTTTCCAACACTGACGATCAGTAGCAAGACCAAGGAATGTACGCATAGAGGAAACCACCCCTGGGCACATGGATGGTGGAAAATCAGAGACAGAGGAAATCTCACACATAGCCGGAGGGAGGGTAATGGGGATGTTACATCTGAAGAACATCAGGAAGCCTCTCCACAAAAATAAGGAAGCAAGAAGGTCACAGGATAGCATTTCCAAAGGGCTGACAAAGTAACGGCAGTCAGAGTTCATTGGGGGAAAATGAAGATGAAATGAGGACATGGAAACAAACAAAAATGCAAGTTCTAGGAGATCTTAAAGTCAACGGAAAAGTTAACACCAGCAATGGTGTGGAGGTTTAGGAAGGAATGAAAGATGGAATAGAAACCACATAAGCGCACCTAAATGCAAACCTGCTGTATGTCCTAAAATACCTGTACTATGGACTGGTGAGGCAGCTCAGTGGTAAGGTACTTGCCTATCGTGATTGAGACCCTGGGATGGTACTCAAGAGTTACATCATATGGACAATAATACAACAACTCTCTCTCTCTCTCTCTCTCTCTCTCTCTCTGTGTGTGTGTGTGTGTGTGTGTGTGTGTGTGTGTGTCTGTGTATTAAAATGTTGGCAACAGTAGCACAAAAGGCAGGTGGGGATTAAATGTAAAATTCTTGTGTGATCTAAGCAATGGTGCTTTTCTTTTCTTTTCTCTTTTTTTTTTTGTTGCTGTTGTTTTGTTTTTTGAGACAGGGTTTCTGTGTGTAACAGTCCTAGCTATCATGAAACTTACTCTGTAGACCAGGTTGGCCTTGAACTCACAGAGATTCACCTGCCTCTGCCTCCCAAGTGCAGGGATTAAAGGTGTATGCCACCACTGCCTGGCTACAAGTCTATTTTCTAATAGACTTAATAAGCCTTAACAAATACATGCTATAATATTTATGTTAATCACTCAAAGAACAGAAAAACAACAGAAAAGTAGAACAGTTTACTACAATGGGTAAATAAAGGAATTCTAAAAAAAAGAAAGAAAGAAAGAAAATCTTGACCTGTGAATTTGCTGATGCTGTGATGAAAAACCTGGGATAATCAGGAGGAAGGATTCATCTTGGCTCACGGTTTCAGAGTTTCAGTCCATAGCCACTCGGTCACATTACTTTGGGCATGTGGAGGCCCCATGTATAATGGAAGGAGCACACGACAAAAGACGTTGCTCTCCTCCAGGGAATAAA